CTTGTTACCTATGTGCAATTTGATGGAGGATACCACACCTCAAGGACTGCACTTGCCCTTGTTACCTATGTGTAATTTGCTGGAGGATACCACACCTCAAGGACTACACGGGCCCTTGTTACCTATATGCAATTTGATGGAGGATACCACACCTCAAGGACTGCATTTGCCCTTGTTACCTATGTGTAATTTGCTGGAGGTTAACACACCTCAAGGACTACACGGGCCCTTGTTACCTATATGCAATTTGATGGAGGTTAACACACCTCAAGGACTGCATTTGCCCTTGTTACCTATGTGTAATTTGCTGGAGGTTAACACACCTCAAGGACTACACGGGCCCTTGTTAACATTTGAGTATAAAGGACTCCTCCTGGTCCTACAGAGTTTTACGCAACCTTACTCGGTCCCGGGTATTCACCCGCCATGTATAATCTACCACGTACCTCGCCCGGTCGTGGTCTATAATTTCTTTACTAACGACTAGTCCAAGTCTTAGCGTTTAAACCGTATTTGAAGCCTTAGCAACCAATGTGGACGGGTCCCACCCGAACGGCCCACATAAACTTACTCAAAAACTGCATATTGGGTGTATTACCCAATACCCGGTCGGGTATTACCCATACCCGGTCGGGTATGGTGAGGCAGTAGCCTCTGGAACTGATTTTAGCTAATACCCGGTCGGGTATTACCCATACCCGGTCGGGTATGGTGAGGCAGTAGCCTCTGGAACTGATTTTTAGCTAATACCCGGTCGGGTATTTACGTATTCCCGGTCGGGTATAGCCTTTGACTTGGCGGTCAACGCCCGTTTGACCGCACAAACGAAGTCCGATTTACGTGAAATTTTATACACATGTACTTCTTGACTTCCTTAATCCAAAAATACCTTTTTGGGTCCTTGGAACATCATACATAATTAATTATCACATTTTAAATCATCAAGCTTACTTAACATGCCTTTCAACTATATTTTACATATAATCATGGCATAACACATACTTGATTATCTTTAATCATTCAATAAAATATATTCTTGATTACTTTAGGTAATCTATGCCTCACTCAAAAGTTATGAAACATAACGCTGTCTTCTCACAACTATTAATAAGTACTTCATACTTATTAATCGCTTATATATTTCGTTCTAGTTTATTCTTCATAACTAGATTTAATTTAATGACATGTATGATTATGTACTTGAATCCTTCAAGAATACCATCTTGAATTACCTTAGCCAAATCATCCATGATTATCCTTCATCAAAATATTAATAATTCTTTTACTCATTAATCATGCCATTTCCCAATAGCTTATACTCATTATAGCTAATCACATGTTTAAACACTTTTAAACATTTCTATACATATCCACATACTAGATTACTCTAGTGATCTCATACATAGTCCATGTGTGCATTTTTTATACATTTGACAATAATATATTCATGATTAATCCACAATAAATCTCTTATTCATTAATCATGTAATATTTCCATAATTCATATTCACCATGACTAATCATGCATTTTAATCCATTTAATCATTCCTCAAATCATGATAAGGATTTTATTTAGGTAATCCCACGTTTGACCCAAGAGTTACAAGACACGTAGTCGTCCACTCACCTTGAAATGACGCTAGCAAGCTTTTATCTTCTTTGTTCGAACTCCGGCGACTTTTGAATTTTCCGGTGAAAACTCCGGTGGCTCCGGCGGCTTTCCGGCCACTCCTAGGTTCCTTGAGAAGTATAGAATACCTTGGTAAAATTCCTAACAAGGTTTCACAACCAAAAGTGGTATAAACGTCAAAACCTTCCAAAAAGGTGTTTTCCGGTGAACCGGTCTTACTCCGGTCATAACTCCGTTCGTGGTTAAACTTAACCTTCGAAACCATCATTCTACACCTCTAAAAGTGTAGAACAAGATTAAGAGTCTATCATATGATTTATAAAATCATATGAGATTAAATGAAGAATGAAATGTTAATGAGACCATTACCTTAATTAAACAAGGTTTTTCTCTTCTTTTCTCACTCTTTCTTCTTCCTTGGACCTTCCTTGGTTTGAGCTTGCTTCAACAATGGAGGATGGTGAATTTTAGAGGCTCTCCTCTCTTTCTTTAATGTGTTGGCCGAAATAATGAGAGGGAAGGGATTGAGATGGTCCTTTTTGTCTCAAAACACAAATGGGTGATGGGAGAGGGCCCCTTTACCTATCAAACATGTCTCTCCCATCTCTTCATCTATCAATTAGTCTCATCCCAAGTTACACAGCTCACACATTGCTTCTTGAGCTCACAAAAACGTGGGTTGGCCCCCACTCATGTTGGAGGTCATCCCAAAATGTCCCGAAGTGTACAATTGGTTCCGAAAGTTGTATTTTCCGGACTGCTTTAATTAAATTTAATTTTATCGGGCCGAATAAAATATATATCATTCTTCCAATTAATATTGGCCTCTAGAATGAATATATATTATCCTACTTTAATTTCGTGGTCGCCGAAATTAATCTCGGGCTGTTATCTGTTTAATTACTTATACCGGTAATGGGACCTCGTTTGATCGAAAGACCAACTTTATGGCTCAACATTAATTTACACCATCATATAAATATTATCTAAACCAAGATGAATATAATATGTGGTCCGTCATTACCGGATGGTCGCCGCCCACGTGTGGGCCCAACGTGTATTTTACTGTTCAAGTAACAGTAAAAATGAGAACGCGTTGCCTCGAAAATTCACTCGTCATTTCTCATTACTTGATATGCGGTTTCATATTTGGTGACACTTAAATAAAATGTTACACATCTTTTTAAGTGATCCGAAATGTAAAAACAGATAGAATCTTATCTGTTTGTTCCCAAAATAAAATATCTTTAAGGTAGGGTCCTCTAAAAGTACCCTCCTTTAATATACCAAGTTAATCAATATTATTCATCCCATTATTTTGGTTTCTTAGAATGTTTATATTTCTTCTGTTATAAATTCGTAGTCCCACGAATTATTGACAGTCCGATAATTAAGGACTCCCCACTATCGAATAGTGGCCCTGGCCCGCTCGGCCGTCCAGTTGTCGCTCTTTATAACAATGGGGTCCACGACCCATTCCTACTATCATAATAGTATCGTTTTGGAAAATAGTAATATTTTATAAACTTGAAACACCACGTGTGGTCCTACGTCTAAATTAATAACCCTTTATTAATTTAGGACAAAATTTTACTTTCTCATTTATCGAGACTACTCTTAGTCTTGATTTACCTTCTTTAACCAAGTACTTTACGAAAAAATTTTATCTGGGTAAAATTTGGGTCCGGTGTTACAGACTGCGTATATCCGACCCCTCTTACCCCACCGTAGGTGGGAGCCTTTGCGGCTCTGGGGTAAATGATGATTGATTGATCAAGTTTGAATTTATATGTTTATAAGCTTATATATGTATGCATATGTGTGTGTGTGTGTATGTATATCATAAAAATAAAATGTTTGTGTTTTTATTTTAAATTAATGTATTTTTTTGCTTTTAGTATGAGGAAAACATTGACAGTAGGGTTTATAGTCACTATCCTCCTCGATCGGTGGGAATCAATTTCAATTCTCTGGCTTGCACAAGACCAATTGCAAATGAAGAAATCTCTAATATTTTAGCTAACAAATTAAATTGATCATATGACTAATGTTGTTTACAAAGAAGTTTTTCAAAATTTGTTGTTTCACTATGAACACTTACTCCGTATTATTTTACTTATCACTTACGCTATATCTCTTTTATAATATTTACATTTTTCTTCTGCGGCGATGTTTTAATCTCTCTTTCATTATAAACACCTATTATATTACTTACCACGTTATTCTAAATTCAACTATTTATGTGTTTTTATAATACAACTCTTAATCACACATCGATAAATTTTCATTCATCCCACGTATGAGATTAGGGGTGGGCATAACGGTTTGGTTTAACCAAACCGAACCGTACCAAACCGAACCGAAACCGGACCGTATGCAATTTGGTTTGAGTTTGGTACTATTTCTTTCAAACCGTATTAAACCGAACCGAACCGGACCGAAACCGATAAAAACCGTACAAAACCGAACTGAACTAAAGAAACCCAAAAAAACTTTCATATATTATTAAAATTGGTTGTTTGATTTGGTTTGGTTTGGGTTCACTTAAGTAAACTGTTTGGTAAACATTTGATCAAACCGAATGGTTTGGTATTTTGGTTTGGTTTGGTGGAAAAACCGTAAACCGAACCGAACAACACACACACACACTTTGTATTTATCTTCACTCTTCATTTTTAAGATATAAATAAATAATTTAGACATGAAAATACATATTTAAGCACATACTCGTATCATTTTAACTTTTACACATTTCATACATTCATTATGACAAAGTTAGCTAATACGACATATTTGTATTTATTATGTTTGGCCTAGCAAATTGCATTTATATTTTTACATGATTCATTTGAATAAAATTGTGAATATCACAACATTTGTACCACCGACTCTTTTAATTTTTTTGAATATTTTATGTGATATTATAAATGCTGATCAACTATCTTGTTTTTTGTAAGAAGTGAATTTTTTGTAGTGATAAAAAGATGTCATAAATTTTCAACGGATAATATTTTATTATTTATTTTTCTATCTTTTATTTCCTTTTACAATTTATTTAAATAATCAATAAATTAAAAAAAATAAAATGGACTACTACTTTCATTTTCTAATTATGAAATATAGAACTTGATCAAATAAAATAATAAACATAAGCAAATGAATCAAATCAAACTAAATTAAACATAATATTTTTTACTTTGATAAATCGAAACTAAATCGAAACATAAATGGTTTTAATTTGGTACAAATTCTTCCAACCCGAATAAATGGAAACCGAACCGAAACTGAAGAAAACTGAACCGTAAACGGAATTGCTTTCGCCCCGAACCGTAAACGGAATTGCTTTCGCCCCTACATGAGATGCACCGATGAGAATTAGTATGGTCAAAACAAATCCGGATAAGCCTCAAAATCCGAACCTCACCTTTGATTTCATTCTTATTTTTTCTTCGTGACTTTCTTTTGGTTCTAAATGGAAAACCACATGCGCCTCGTCTGAGGAAATCCGCCTACAATTTCAAACCCTTCTCCGAACTTCTACAATGGCAGCCATTTCTACATTCTCCTTCTCGGCGATCGGACAATCACTGGAGAGGAAGGGGTTCTATGTCATTTCTTCATCTGCTCGTGGCTTATCATCTACTTCGGATGTGTTTCGCTTTCCTGGGAGCTTAGCCTTTGATTCCCTCAATTTCCGCTCTTCGTTTTCGAGTTCGAGCTCAATAAGGCTAGTTCGGTGCATGTCCACTGGTAAAATTAACTTACGTATCTAAAACTTTTTACGCTATACAATTCAGCTTCTTCAGAGCTATGTTTTTTCAAATTTTAGTTACTTTCAGTTTTTAGCATAATCGGAAACTACGAAGAAAGTGAATGCTGAAGGATAAACGATAATACTCCCTCCATCGCACACCTTCAGTCCCAACTTGATATTCAAGAAAACGGATCACCAGATAATTCTTCCTAAAATGAAATAGTTTTGACTAAGAAAACAAAAAATTGAAAAACCTACTAAAATTAACATATTTTTGACTAAGTAAATGTGCTACTAAATCGAATCGCAAAAACCTAATCAGAAAATGATTAGAATTGATACTCAAAAATAGAGAATAAAATGAAATAGTTTTGACTGAGAAAATAAAACCGCAAACCATTTTGGGACGGAGGAACTAACATGTCTTCCATTGGTTTGTTAATATAATTTTTGTGAAGTTATTCTACGGAGTACTAGTTTAGAGTGCTGCACTTATCTTGTAACGGTATATTTTCAGTTTCAGAAGTGCCCACTGTGTCACAGACAAAAATGGATTTCTTAAGGGCTTACAGACGACCGATTCCTAGCGTGTACGGTTCTGTGCTACAAGAACTGATTGTGCAGCAACATTTGATGAGGTACAAGAAATCATATCAGTACGATCCCATTTTTGCCCTTGGGTTTGTGACCGTATATGATCGCCTCATGGAAGGTTATCCAACTGAAGAGGATAAGGAGACTATTTTCAGGGCATACATCACTGCATTGAATGAGGAGCCTGATCAATACAGGTTTCTTTTTCCTCAAATTCTTTGGCATTCATATTTTTTTTTATAGAATTCATGATGGGGTCTGGTCACTTAATTATGTCATATAATTCACATTGACCAAATCATACTGAAAGATTGAATGCAATACATTAGATAGTCTAGTCTTATTAATTTAGGTTTCCTTTAAGATCTCAATTGGGACTCTTAACACTTTTTATTAGTAATCTTAATTTTTCAGAATTGACGCCCAAAAGCTAGAAGCATGGGCAAGTGCTCAGAATGCCAATAGCCTTGTTGAGTTTTCATCAAGGGAGGGAGAAGTTGAAAACATCCTAAAAGACATTTCAAAAAGGGCTGCAACAAAGGATGGTTTTAGCTATAGTAGGTTTTTTGCAGTTGGACTTTTCCGCCTACTTGAGCTATCAAATGCAACTGAGCCAACCATCCTAGAGAAGGTAGGTTTAATTGATTTCACGTCATTGCAAAATTCACACCAACAAAAGAGAAATTACTCTTGTTGGTAATGAAAACTTTCAACTAGTAATATGTGCTCACATCGCAATAACAGAAGGGAACTTTAACCACTGGTATAGATTATTCGATCATTTGAAGATTTTGTTCCTAAATGAGGAGGTGCAACAGACTTCTTTCTTGATAGACTAAAGAACCTAATTCCTGTATATTGCATCTATACTAGCTTTATATGGTAAAAAATGCTACTAGATGCCATGTATCCTTGCTTGCCCCTGGTGCTGACGAATTAAATGACTAAGAAATCATTTAGCATTACTTATTTTCAATAAATAAGTTTCCTTTTGGATTTAGGGTAAGAAAAGTATTTTTTCTTCAACTGAAGCATTTGGCTTGAAAGTGGGGAAAAGTTATACGTAGTATGTTTTAATAGTAAAAAAGGAGGCACTTTTTGTGGTTTTTTAAGAATCTTGCAGGTTGGTTTCAGAATAGCACTTCAAGTGCTTAAACGGAAAAGCACTTGTACCATAAGTTATCCCAAAAAGCTTCTTCGGTTCTTTGTCATTGTCATTTCCAATTGAACCAAGTTATGTTTTAATTTACACCAGTGACAAATGTTGTGTCAGATTCCAACTTTAAAAGCTTGGTTCCATTTAGAAGTTTGCATGTGTAAGACGTTCCATAGGTTTTCCATGATGAGTTCTGTTAATGACAATATTATTCTTGCAATAGCTTTGTGCTGCCTTGAATGTGAACAAACAAAGTGTGGACAGGGATCTTGATGTTTATCGCAATTTACTCTCTAAGTTGGTCCAGGCTAAAGAGCTAGTAAAAGAATACGTGGCCAGGTGAAAACTCTTTCTTTTGTATTTTTTTATTTCTGCATTTCTTAAATCTATTTTTTTGTAGATTTTATCATGTTAAAGTCTGTCATTTCTCCAAGTTGCTCAAAGGGGAGGATAAGATTTTGTGAAAAGTATATACAGTGTGTACTTTTACTATATTGTTAAATTGGGCCTTCATCAGGAGGTGAAGTTTATCTTCACACACACACACACAATAGACTCAAACAATGTGAAATACTCTAATGCCTACAATATGAGAAGTCAGAAGCTTTCTTGTACTACTAGTTAAGTGACATATTCATTTGACTGAATGTGTTAATACCTTTCAGGGAGAAGAAGAAGAGGGAAGAAAGGGAATCTCAGAAGTCTAGCGAAGCTGTAACAAAATGTGTGGGGGTATACCAGATTGCAGCCTGGTGATTCAAATATCTACTTGCGCCTCATTTGGACCTCATTATATTTCGTCCAGCAAACTGTTTATTAGTTTGCATCACAATAGAGTCTGGACCTCACGAAGCTCAGGGATTCTGCACATCTGGAATAGAATTTTGATCGCAATTCTGGATATTGATCCGAGGACGTGATTGAAGATATATCCCAGCGTTAATTGCTTCATCAATTAGTATGCAAGTTCTGCAATAAGCGCATGCGCTTACCCAAGGAACAACTGTAACTTGCATATTTATAATTCTTTCCTTTATCTGAGAAAAAGTTATGGTGTATGTTTCAGAGGACTGGATAACCTAATTTTTAATGTGTAGATTTATTTTTAAAAGGATGGATCTCTTCAAATCACTCCACCACCTAGACATTCTCAGTGTTCGATATCGGCAACATGTTGGCACCACTGGAGGTGGTGACATATTGGCAACACTGTGATGTCGGTGACATGTGGGCACCACTGTGATGTCGGTGACGTGTAGGCACCACTATCCACACCGGATTTCTCCCTTCTCATCACCATCTCCAATTCTGATATGCTGTCATCCAGTCTAAAGATCGTTTGTGCATTCCCTACCACCACTCGATTATTCCATGTAGGGGGTGATGATAGGCTGTGATTCTGGTCCAGTTTTAGTACTCCTTAAGGTAAGAATTGGGCCAGGCAGTGGATACACTTTGGTTCTTCCAAAGTTTGTATCATAAAGAAAAGTACTAGTACTTGACTGGACTTTTCGAGGGAGCGAAGTGGAGGGAGAGTATATGTGTCGAGTAAGCATGGATAGTTGTATACAGTCCCAGTTTGGGTCGGTTTGGATCCCGGATTGGCTGGCCCTGAAAAAGGTGGAGCCCGAGATCGGACCATATTTATGGTTACAGACCAGTCCCGTTTGATTGGCAAGTCTTGGGACTCTTGGCCCCAGTCTGATTTTTTCCTGGTATTTTTGGATTTTTTTTTGTATATATTACAAGTGTAGACACGTATGACGTATCCATCATATTGACAATTTGACATCAAGATATTTATTATAAGCCCTTGAAAGATATTTATTATAAACCCTTCAAAGAATTAAATTTGAGTCAATTGAACAATCTACTAGGTTCTAACCAGGGCCGTCTTTTAGGAGGTGCAATAGGTGCTTCGCACCGGGGCCTACTCTTGTAGAGGGCCTCCAAAAATTTAGAATGTACTTTCGTCCCACTATGTTTGGGACAAGAGAGTGTGGCACAACATATGAGAAAAAATGGAATTGTGTGATTAATATTGAATTGACTATGAATAAGATATTCTATGAATAAAGTAAGAATGAATTGTAATTATCCAAATATTACCAAATATGATATGTGACAAACTTAATGGGACCGACGAAAAAGGTAAAACGAGACAAACTTAGGAGGGCGGAGGGAGTAGTATTAGTTATAGATTAATTTTTCTAGATTTTTTATATTGTTAAGGATTCCAATATACATACTCCTTCCGTCCCTTAAAACTTTGTCATCTTTCCTTTTTGGGACGTCCCAAAAAACTTTGCCACTTTCCCTTTTAATCAATATTTTGAAGTTCCTGTTATTTCTATCTCCTCTGCACACACCTCTACAACACAGTTTTTACTTGGCAAAGTTTTAAGGGACAGAGGTAGTATAACTTTTAGATTCTCTAATTTGTGGACTTTAAACATCATAAAACTTATATTTCGTTGGAGTGTCTAGTCTATTTGTATTTTATTGTAAAAATTTGTGTTATTTTCTCGTCTTAGGTCCTTAGGGGGCCACAATTTGCTATTTCAAACCGGGGCCTCCAAATTCATTAGACGGCCCTGGTTCTAACCGCTATTTATATATCACCGTGCACAAGAAATCGTTCCTAAATGTCAAACATCACCAAATTCTGAAAAGTTAACTTTCATGCCCAGGCAAGATGAATCACTAATTGTGTGATCACTCAGCTAGTTCCAAGGCTATATACTACGGAGTTTTATTTTAGAAAAGCCTTTCAAATTCATCTCTTTGATGAGTTGAACCTTAAGGGCCTGTATGGTTGGGGATTTCGGAGGGGAGGGAAGGGGAGGATTGATTTTTTATTTTATTAATTTATCTGAATTTTTTAATTTTTAACTTCAAATAACTATATAATTGATTAAACCATGCATTTTTATATACTATTTTGTCTTCACTTTATTTGATTTTTTTTTAAATTAAAAAAATATTTTAAATTTAAATATGACTCCTCCCCTTCCCTCCCCTCCAAAATCCCCCAACCATACTGTCCCTAAGTTCCTTCTCACTTCGCATCTAGTGATCTAGGTTTACGCTGAAGTCAAATGAAAATTCCAACCCAACACAATTACATAAAGATGCAATAGAACGGAAAAAGTGTAACTGAAGACTGAAAATCTCTAACTTGCCTTCTTCCATCTTCATCTTTTTACTTTTTAGACTAAAACAATCATTTCTTATGTGAATAAGCAGAACTGGCACCAAAAGGACGTTTTTAGTGACATTTAAATGACACATGTAGTTTCGGAGAGTATAAGCTAGATTAGAGTGCAAAAATGAAAGTTAAGAAATAATATATTCATAGTAAATAACCCCAACAGTCATAATGGTAATGACAGTGATGATAATAAGATTGTTAGACAAAGTTTTTGTAAAACAATATACTGATGTATGAAGTAGTAGATGACTAGATACAGTTTCCGAAACACATTCTATGTAGCCTAAAATAAACTATAAATATTAGTGATACACTATGAGATTTAATTAACGAACTGTCAATAATTGGCGTCTTCAAGCTTTTAACGAACTGTCATTTTTATACAGCAATTAAGGAAAAAAGTTGAATAAATAGAAGCATTGTAGTAGACTAATAGACACCCGTTAGAAACAAATTATACTGGTTTCCTGAGCTGCAACTCCCCCAAGCAACATAAACAAATTACGAAGACTGCTAGGGCGCAGATGACAGCTTCTTGCTACTTACGTTAAAAGAAAATACCAATCACTCATTAATTAATGTAGTTTTCAAATGCTAAAAGAATGAGAATGGGACTATTGATTCATAATTATTAACTGAGACGAGAAATGTCAATCTCGTCAGGAATTTTGAACGTATCTGCTGCCCCAAACTTCCTCTGTTCCTCTGAGACAGAATCTTCTTCGCCACCGCTGTCTCCATCGTCGCCATCACGGTGTGATGGACTGGAGGGGTCGAACACGCTTCTGGCTCTGCAATCATGGGTGGCAAGCATCTTAACCTGTCCCAGATGGGATATTTCCACAACTACTGTGTCATCGTCCACCGGGAGGGGCTGTTTCCATGGCTCCCCATCAATCCTCATGTAGGTTTCATCAGCTGCGGCCTTGTGAAACTCAAACCTTATTCCATGTGCCTGTATATACACACACGCATGCAAACGTGTAAGTCGTTAGTAGTAAAACATAAATTTCCACTTTTTTGTTTTTCTTCTAATAGCATTTTTGGAAATAATGAGAAGTGTATGACTATTAATACACATTAATCATAGTGGTACTTTCACAATGACCGGAATGACGGTGTTCAATTTCACAGAGTAATGACCATTATGATTTTGTAGTTTAACTATAGTAACCTATGGTCACCTTTCCTGTCCATGGATTCTACTTTAGACAAACCCCACTCCGTTTGTTTTAAGCCGCCTTTGCTAAAATCTATAGATATTGGTTATTTGGTTATCAAAAAGATGACATTAGAAATGAGAATATTTCCTCAACCTGTGCAAGGCGTGTGCCATGTCCATTGGGAGCAAGCAAAACCAGTCCATGCCAGGCATCCCTAAAGCCAACAACTTCAATAAGCCCATCATCTACATATGGGGGAGTCAAGTCCCGCTGCACAACAGGTGATCAAAGTATGTTTGTCATGGACATGCAAAACAATGGGAAAACTATATATTTTCTTTCATTGATGAGTTCTGCACAATTTATTTCTATTTTACTAAAGACTAATTATATATTTCTATTTTACTAAAGACATCTTTATTCATAGTAAGTGCTTTTAGTCCTTTGTCTCGTGTCGCCGATCTATTCCCATAATCCCATTAACAGTTCACTACACTTGAGTCTTAAGTAAGAAGATTCAAAATGTGGCGATATATTTTTATGTTTTGGAACATGGTCAATTAGCGACCAAACACTTAAAACAATGAGCACCTCAAGCACACACCATGCGGGTAACCAACAAGGAAAAAACAAATATGATACTCAGTATTGTATATTTTTGAGAGAGAAGACCAGCTATCTGGAGTTCCGGATACATACATCACGACGTTTGTGGATATTTGGTGTTCCCCATGGGTTCAGTCCACCAGAGAAGCTAGGTAAGTTGAGGCATACTATTGACCTGATGCTGAAAATGGACGGAAAATTTATATGTATATATACATGAACTAAGCTGCTTATCATCTTAGGAATGATGATATCCTTACCTGTGTGGAACTTTGAGGTCTTTCCACTCACCTTGCTTTTTCATGATCTTAACCTTCGCTAGTTGAGCTATATTCCTACAGAAAATGTGGATTTATAATCTGATACATAAAACTGCTTCCAATTTTCATCATTTGCTCAATCGAGCAAATTAGGCGTGCAAAAAAATTCAACATCTAAAACCATACAGGATTACCACACTGAACTGAACCAAAAGCTGAGGTTAATCGAATAATTAATTGGCCCAAGCTTAATTGCTGTTGTCCAAATGAACCAGATATTTATACACTTTCAGTCCCTGAAAAAGAAAAACTTTTTCCGCCGTCCCAAACTAAGGTTCCTCTTTCCTTTTAAGAAAAGAATAGTGTGTTCAAAATTTATTTTCTCTCATCCGCATAAAATTTAACCATACATTAAATTTATGGTTAAGATTACAGTTGAGCACTCTATGAACCATTGTCTTTGTACTAGCTATAAAATCATCAACTCTACCATGGCAAGGCAATCATTAACTCCCTCCCCCAACAAAAATACAAGTCTCTATCAGTCTCTATTATTGGTTCACTCCACCACGTAATACTCATTATGATAACACATATAAAACAAATAAGGTGACATGAACCAATGATAGAAATATTATAAATAAGTGACTGTATTTAGCATTTCTTAAAAAAACAAATAAGTACTTAATTAGTGCACAAAACATTTAAACTCACCTTGACGAAGGATGAAAGATTGAGGCAGCAAACCATCCTTGTGTGCATCCAAGCTTTGCATATGTACTCTGACCAATCCAAAAGAATAAAAAGCTGAAAATCTCCTCCTTCTTACTACATTGAACATAAAAACTCATGACAAAAACACTAGAATTTA